CTTGGCCAATGTGCTCTCTGTGAAAGCCTGAGAGAGTGTTTTCTCTCCATGTGACTCTCCTTAGGCACACTCTACATCAGCGACCACTTTCCTCTTTGGCCCCATAATCGCCTTGATCAGAAAATTTGGGACACTACCAAGTTACATGACATTACAGTACAAGTTCTCAAATGTCCTGAGTCTTAATTGACCTTAGAAGGCTAGGACCAAAATGTTGGCTTTCCTTGCGGCTCTCCTTTTTCTCTAATTTTGGTCTGCAAACTAAGGTTAACCCTCCAGAAGAGCAGCTTATTGTTATTACCATACAATCTAGGCTGTTAAGCTTAACATGTTTTTTTTTTTTTTTTTTTTTTTAATGTATTTAGTACAGGGTCTACAGGGTCTCACTACACAGATTGGACTCATAGTGATCCTCTTGTTTTCAGCCTCCCACGCACTGGGATTATAAGTGCACACCACCATGCCCAGTCTCAATTGCTAGCTCAGCATGCCCCTGGTGGTGGGACCAGCGCGGTACATAGGTATCGAATCCCAGTCCCTGCGTTTGCCTAAGCAGGTGCTTTAATCCACTGAGCCATCTGGCTGGCCTTTGGTTTATTCTTTCAAAGAACCACTTTGATTCACTGTGTATTTTTTGCTCAATTTCATTGATTTCTGCTCTGGTATTACCACCTAAAGACTGGACGCAGGCAACAGTGTCAAATCAAGGCAAAAAAAGTGAGGCAAGCCACAGAAGACAGGCAGTGCCCAGGTGGTCTCCTAGCTCTGCCATACACCCTGCATCTAAGTGGTAGCAGGCAGCTTGCTGCAGACCATCAAAAGTGGCCTAAGAAGCAGGGATTTATTGTGAATCCTAGACTGGCTGGTTCACAGTGTGGTGCTGGAGGTAACGAAGAGGTGGTGAGGGTCACATGAGGCATGATTCTGCTGCAGAGCAGCGGCTGAACTGGGATTTGTCTATCTGCAGTTCAGAGCTCTGGGATGACCCCATGTTCTCTGTGGAACAAAATGCCTCATGTCCAAAACTCCATGGCTTTCATTACTACCAATCAGGGAGGTATGTGGAGGTCGCAGCAGAGTGCTAGGAAAAGGAAACTCTGAAGGCACTAGTTGTGGTAAGAAACAGCACTCTTCTACCAGAAAGGCCTCTAAGGAGTCTGATGTAGGCAAGGCTGGCATCTTTACTGCCCAGAAAGTATAATTCTGAGTCCCAAGGCCTCAGCTATGGTGTTAGCTCATGTCTTAGTCTGGAATCGTACAGGCTCTTGCTTGTCCTCCATTCCAGCCATCAACATGGAGGCTATCCTCACTGGAGTGCAGCCACTTTGCTAGTAAGACCACCGGTGCCTCCGCCAGACTCGGTAGCATTCTTTTAGCCAATTAAGGAAACATCTGTCTCAATATGGCCAACTCTGCACATCTCAGTGAGTAGGGTGAAGGAGAGGCCAGGGAAGGACAGGGTTACCTGGCCTGGTCCTGCAAGCCCTGTCCCCGACAGCTGCAGTCCTGTTGTTGAGCTATGCTGAGAACCTTGTTGTGATAACTAATGACTAATCCCAATTTTGAGTTATATCAACTGCTATTTTAATGCAAACTGTAAAATAAGCATAAAGGGGTTGGGGATATATCTCAGTGGCTGCCTGATAAGTTTGAGGTCCTGAGTTTGATTTCTGATACCAAAAACAAAAGCAGAAAGTACAGTTTTCGTTTTTGGCATGGTAGTAGAGATTGAATGCAAAGCCTCTGCCCTGAGCTATATCCCCAGCCCATTTTTAGTTCTTTAGCCAGGGCTTTGCTCAGTCACTGAATTGCCCAGGCTGTGCTTCAACTTGCCATATTTCTGTCTCAGTCTCAAGAGAGTACTGGGATTATAGGAATGCATCACCATGAAGAGCTGGAAGCAAAGATTTTAAGGTCTGAGAGAATCATCTTTATGAAAAAGTCTGCAATTTAGCCAGGCGTGGTGATGCACGCCTGTAATCCTAGCACTCGGGAGGCTGGACAGAAGGATCATCAGGAGTTCAAGGCCAGCCTGGGCTATAAAGTGAGCTCAAGGCCAGCCTGAACTTCATAGTGACACCCTGTCTCAAAAAGACAACAACAAAAGGTCTACAATTTGTCCTTCTTGGACTGGCTGGGAGTGCTATCCCAGGAGCTCCCCTAAAAGTTTCAGACAATCAGGCTAATAACATTTACATACCCACAGCATGTATATTCAGGTTTCATTTTATTTTAGCTATAAAACAACTGCCAAAACAGAGTTTTAAAAAACAAACACAATTTTTATTCCTTCTTTTGTTGCAGAAAATAAATATCACACATATTCCATATGCTTGTCTATAAAAGCACTTCTAAAAACATCATTTATTGAAATCAACAGTATAATCTTTTTGGCTTTTGGAATGCAGATACTGGATAGTAGATAATTTTATTTCATTACCTTTTTTGAACACCTGGCTCAAGCAACTTTGGGAAAAGCTATTTGTGGGCTTTAAAAAACTTATTCCAAGTGTTATTTTTAAACTAGTTACACTAAAAACAACCAAGTTTTAACTTATTTTGAGAACAGTCTTTTATAAAAATTGCCCCCAAGCTAATACATACCCAAACTGACATAAAAAGTTGGTTTATCTTCATAGGAATCAGCAAGAGAAGGCGTAGGGAGTAGGAGGGAGGAACAAAAACTCAGCTCCTGTCATGTGCACAGCTCGGCATGACCTCGAAGTTTTCATGCCCAGACTTCCAGTTTGGCCCACTTGAGTTTTAAGAGTGAAAAGGTGTTTAGTCATCTAAGCCGATGTTTCTGAAAAGGTAGGACATGGACTCCCCATTGTGAATGCGCCGGATGGCTTCGGACAAGATCATGCTGATATCCACTGTTTTGATCTTGGGGCACTGAAGCTTCTGGATTTCATGTGGGATTGTATTGGTAACTACCACCTGTGAATCAAGAGAAAAACCCAGAACATCAGAAAACCAAGCAGCTTCAGGGTCTTGGGTGTGCAAAGTTGCAGAGTACTTGCCTAGCATATGTGAAGCCTTGAGTTTAATCTTCAGCAGTACAAAAACAAACAAACAAAAAAACCCACCCCAATTAAGAAGCCCGAGCACCCTCCTGGGTTGATCTAAAATATGATGCATTCTCAAAGTTCTGAGGTTCTACCTCACAGGACAGGGATCTACCCAGTTTTTCTTATTACTGTTTGAAACTGGGTTTAGTTCTATAGTCCAGGCTGGCCTTGAATTATCTATGTGGCGCTGGCTGGCCTTGAACTCATGGTGATCCTCTTGTTTCATCCTTCCAACTGCTGGGATTATAGTCATGGACCACTACGTATACCTTTTGAGACAAGGTCTCACTATGTTGTTCAGGGTGGCCTTGAACTCACAACACTCCTCCTGCCTAACCCTCCCAAGTGCTGGGATTATAGGCAAATATCACCCTGCCTGGCTCTACCCAGTCTTTGTAAGATTTCCAATCAATGTGAAGCTATATGTGCTCCCCAGGTTAAGATATGATAACCTCACAGTCACTAGGATAGTTAAGAACTAAAAGGACAGATGCCACCAAAGTGCTGGGGGGATGTGGAAAAAACAAATTTCCCATACCCTGCTAGTAGGTCTGTGAAATGGGGCAGGTGCTTTCCAGGAGAATAGAGAACACATGTCTACACAAAAACCTGTAGATGAGTGTTCATGGTAGCATTATTCAGAAAAAAATAGAAACAATCCCACTTTGTAATAATTTATGAATTGAGACAAAATGTGACATATCTATAACAAAAAGGGCTGGAAATACAGTTCAGTAACTATTATGGTTCATATCTAGATGTTCCCCCCACAGCCTCATGGGATCATAGGGGAGGCTTTTGAGAGGTGATTGAATTATAGGGTGACCGGATCAGGTAAGAAGAGGCGAGTCATTGTAGGCGTGGCCAGAAGGGTGCATTTTCCTTTTTGACTCCCCGCCTTTACTCACTCCACTTCCTAATCACTGTACTCTGAGCAGCAGCTTGCCTCCACCATGCCCCGCTGCCACACTACTCTACCTTACAGCCAGCCAACTATGGAACCAAAGTAAACCTCTCCTTTTAGTTGCAGATGTCAGGTAATTTTGTTCCAGCAATGAGAACGTGACTTAGGACAGATTTTGGTTTCAAGGGTGGGGTCTCTGCTTTGATGCTACCTCAATATGTGGTTTAGAATCTTTTGTAACTGGTTCACGGGAGGAGTCTGGAAAGGTTTAAAATGGAAGGTGGCAAAGAAGCCCAAGGATGCTATAAGCCAAGCTTGCTGGGCTATGCTGGTTAGAGTTCAGAAGACCAGAATGCATATATAACTGCAGATTGCATAGACCAGGCTCAGGAAGTTTCAGGTGAGGATTCTACTGGCAAATGAATTCCAGACTATGTGGTTATACTCTGGCAGAAAATATGTCTATATTTTGCTCATGTCCTAAGTCTTTGTGGAAGACTAAAATTAAGGGCAGCATCCTAATTAATCTGGAAGAGGAAATCTGAAGGCAGCCCAATATTAAGGCTGTGGCATAGATGCTGTGAAGGACTTTTAGCAAGCTTTATATGGAAAACTAAGAGCAAAATGCTCATTTAAAAAGTTTTCAGCTTTTTTCCAGAAAGAAATAAGTCTATCAAGGTGGTACACAGGAAAATTTGGTTTCTGAAAAGATTAGCTGTTTCTTTAACTGAGAATCAGGAAAGAATAGCTTTAAGATAAAGTCAAGTATTCTGGATCAGGATAATAGGAAAAGTGACTTAAAAGCATGTCAGGAATCAACAAGGTGTCTCTTTTCATAAGCTTAAGAACGTAAAGCCATGAAGTTTCATTTAAGAATGCCTGGCGTACCCTGATGAGTGGTACAGAGACAATTCTCTGGGATTTATTTCACAATGCTCAACCATCCAGGTACTCTGAAGCTTTTGCAGTCATGATACAAGGAAGCCTGGCCACTGCTTGAGGTGATGGATAGACCATCACTCATGTGGTACTGATTTTATAGTCATGCAAAATAGAAGAGTTGTGAAGTTAGAAGACTCCCACCCAGATTTCAGAAAAACGTGTAGGCTGCTGAGCAGTGTGCTCCTAGCAGGGCAGTATGTGAAACTGAAAGTGTGAAAAGTACAATGGAGATCCCCCAAAGTTGGGGAAGCCAGGAATGTAGAATGTCTAAGGAAAACACCAAACAGTGAGCAAAGCCAAAGAAAAGCTAGGAGAGGTACAACCATAGAAGTGGAGCTCCCTAAGCGCTTTGGAGCTCATATCTCATCACAACTTGCCTCAAGTGCTGGACGTGAAACTACAAGATTTAATGTTTGTCCTGCTGGATTCATCTTGCTTTGGTCCCAGTTTTCTTATTTTTTCTTTCTGTACTTAGGGCAGGGTCTATAGGGTGTTCAGGGTCTTACTACGTAGATCGGACTCCTAGTGAGTCTCCTATTTACTGCTTCCCAAGTGCTGGGATTACAGGTGTGCGCCACCACACCCAGTCTCAATTACCCTATCAGCGCGTCCCAGGCTGGCAAGGCAGGCCCAGGGATCGAACCCCCGGCTGCTGTGTTCTGCCTAAACAGGCACTTTAGTCTGCTGAGCTATCAGGCCAGCCCTTGGACCCAGTTTTCATTTATTTATTTATTTTTTGGCAGACCTGGGGATTGAACTCAGACCCTTGCGCTTGCCAGGGAATCACTTATTCAAACTGAGCCATCTCCCCGGCCCCATATTTTTTTTTATTTTTTGGCAGAACTGGACCCAGTTTTCTATCTCAGTATTTGTCCCTTTTGGAAAAGGAATGCTTATTCTGTGCCACTGCTCATCAGCATTGCTTAACTTCTTGATTTTTACAGGGCTCACAGGTAAGAGTTACTTTAATTGTGTTTTTTTCTTTCTTTTTTTCAGTACTGGAGACTGAACTCAGGACCTTGTGCTTGCCAGGCAGGTGCTTAAGCTGCTGAGCTATCTTCCCAGCCCCTTAGAGTTATCTTAAGTCTCAAAGGAGATTTTAGACTTGGACTTTTCAGCAGTGCTGGAACAGTGAAAACTCTGGTGATTACAGATACACTAAACAGATTTTTCAAAAGAAGATGTACCTAAGTCTTTTGGGAGGCCAGAGTCCGAATGCTATTGTGTATATCTAGATGTCTCCAGAAAGGCTCACAGGCAGGGCTTTTGGGAGGTGACTGGAGCATGGAGGCATTATAGCTGATGTGTTGAGAGGGAGGGTGTGGTCAGAAGAGTTGGGTCACTATGAGGGTGACCTCATCAGGGTATACCTGCCTTTTGGCTCTTCTTTTGAGTGTCTCTGCTTCCCAATCACCACACTATGAGCAGCTGTCCTCTGCCATACTGGTGATCTTGCCATGAAGCCAGCTGACAACAGACTGAAACATGTGCCAAAATAAACCTCTCCTTTCTTAAGTTGTGATTATTGGTATTTTGTCCCAGCAGTGAGAAACTGACTAAGACAATGGCTGAGCTGCTTACCCAGATCCCAGTCCTCAAAAGATTTTGAAGCAGACGAAACTTCTTCAATGTTTTGTGGTAATTATCACACAACTTAACGTATCTTTTTCTTTTTTTGTATTTTTAGGGAAGGGTCTACAGGGTATTCAGGGTCTCACTACTAGATCAGACTTGTAGTGATCTGCCTGTTTACAGCCTCCCAAGTGCTGGGATTACAGCTGCTCGCCACCACACCCAGTTTCATTTGCCATCTCAGAGTGCCCTGGGGGTGGGGCTGGCACAGCAGCCCCGGGGATCAAACCCCTGGCCCCTGAGTCTGTCTGCAGGCGCTTTAATCCACTGAGCTATTTGGCCGGCCCAACTTGGAGTATCTTAACCACCATGGGACTATATTCTTTTTTTCCCCACACAACTGGGTCTCTAGTGATCCCCCTGTTTTCAGGCTCCCCAGCGCTGGGATTATAGGTGTGCACCACCATGCCTGGTCTCAGTGGCTAGGTCAGCATGCCTGGGGGCAGAGCTGGTGTGGCATGTGGTGCTGAGGCTCGAACTCCAGTCCTGCACTTGCCTAAGCAGACACTTAGTGTGTTGAGCTATCTTGCCAGCCCTGCAATTATTTTTCTTTTCTTTTTTTTTTTTTTGTGGAACCGGGAATTGAACTCAAGCCCTTGCGCTTGCCAGGGAAGCGCTTATTCCACTGAGCCATCTCCCCGGCCCCTGATTATATTCTTAAAGTTGGTGAATTATATGGTATATGAACTATATCTCAATAAAGCTGTGATTTTTTAAAAAGTGGCAGAGGAAGAAGCTTATATTCAGTAAAATGTTAATACAATCCACATTTTGAATACAATCTTAACTATGAACAAACTCGCTCTTACACTTAATATGTAACAAGTGCTCAGAGGTGCCAGTGCAGAGGCAATGACACCACACTCAGCCAGACGCTACTACCTCATCAATGGCAGACTCTTCAATCAGCCGGGGGGCATCAGATGATAACAGGCCATGCGTCGCCATCACAAAAATCTTATATGCACCTCTTTCCTTCAGGGTCTCTGCTGCAGCAAGAAAGGTATCGACGTCATCGATGATGTCATCCTATCAAATCACAGGTAAAGCAATTTATACAGACAGATTTGACAACTAGGAAACAGAAAGGTCTGCCTAAATGTACCGTGGGAAATCTCTGTTCACTCTTAGTACATGAGACTGCATTTGGCATGTCCTTGACAATTAAAGAACAAATTAAAGGACAGCTACTGCCCTGTAGAGTAACAGGGGAGACAGATTTCTAACTGGAAAAGGTACCGAAGGACCTCATGGTGTCTCTGTAAGCCTATCCCATGAGCCTCCTCCCTTGTGGCACTTGCCACGCCAGGGCTGGCTCCCCAGTGCCTTAGGCTTTCTGCAAGAGTGCTGCTTTCATCCTGACACCTACTAATCAGAATGCAGGTTCTTCAGGAACATTTGCCAGGTCTTTGTTTTTAAATGCATAGAAAAAACTATTAGAAGACACTTCTGACAGGGCCATAGCTTTTCCCCCAAGTTTTCTCTCGCTTCTTTTCCTTATTTTCCAGATTTGCTCCAGTGAACATGTAGGAAATATACATTTTACCGAGCACTATTCTTACAATGGTAAAACCAATGACTATTAAATTGTGTGTGTGTGTGTTTTTTTAAAGACAGGACTTTGATCTTCCTATATTGCCTAAGATGTTCGCAAATTCCTGGGCTCAAGGGATCTTCCTGCATCTGCTTCCTGAGTGACTAGGACTATAGATGTGTGTCACTGAGCCCAGCTGATTTATTTTTAATATTAAAATACATTGTTCAGTGCTTTTCTTTTTCATAATTTTATTGAGAAACAAATAGCAATGAGACAATTTCAAACCAAATTGGTAGGACAGTTTCAATAATTAACACATTGCATACATTCTTCCTAGTGGTTAATTGCTGTACAAGATGCAGACATGATATCCTATTTACAAACACCATTAGAACAAATCCCTCTATTCATTAAGAGAATGTAACTATATATCTATCCTAACCACTTTGAATACACAAATACAAAATGGACATTCATCTGTATCCCCTTTTTTTGTTAAGTTCCATCATTTAAATATTATAGGTGTGTAAACTTAGCAAAATATTCTAAAAGAGTTCAAAAAATGGCAGAATGATTTTTTTTGGAGGGGGGCTGGCTCGGAATGCCTTCAGGGCATGTTTGGCTGGCTGGAGTTGTGGGGATTGAACCACAGCAACCTGACGCTGACTGCTTTGTTGAAGGAGCCACTTAAAACAACTGAGCTAAGGGGCAGGCCCCATCAGTGCTTTTCAATGTACAGATCAGATTCCCAGGCTTCCAGAGTTCTTTTAAATTCATAATGGCATCAAGCATTGTTAAATAAACTTATGTTTATTTTACATATAACATATTACTCTTTCAATGTATACCAATACATTACAATCTGTATGTCTATCTACCTATGTTTAAAAATATTACTGGTAAGACAGTACGGCAATACAAGAAAACAGTCAGATACTTACTTATGAGACTAGACCTACAACCATTATTGAAACTAACAACTTGTAGATATTAAACCAGAGAAATTGAAATTCTACTCACATAAAAACCTATGCATGGAAATGTACAGCAATTTTATTTATGACTCAGATGTCCTTTAAGAAACAGTTAAACTGTGGTATCTCCAGGTCATGAATGCTGCTCAGCAATTATAAGTAACCAACTATTACCATACAAAACAATATGTATGATCCCAAGGGAATCATGCTAAATGCAAAACTACTTATAAAGGTTAAAGACTATACATTCCATGTATATGACAAATGGAAATGAGAATTATGGAGACAGAGGACCGATTCATGCCTGTCAAGTATGGGTATGATGGGGTGACATGATACGAAGTTTGGGTTACAGGATAACCCTAACCCTGAGTGCAGTGGTGGCAAATGTGTATACATACAAGTACAAAGATGTATAAGTTTGCACATGCACACAGGATATGTAACTGGCATTATCTAAAGGAGCTATGTTCAACTTCCAGAATCATACATAAAAAATAAATATTAAAGACATTCATTGAGTTCTGTGGCTTTTGGCACTGTGCCATCCGAGTTGTTACTGTGCCACTGCTTAACTAACAAAGGAAGTGGGATCAAGAGTAAGCAGAACCTTCCTGCACATCTTTTTCCTATTCCCTGTGACTCTACAATAATTTCAAAATAAAGAGAATTTTCAAAAAACTGAAATTGTAATTGAAAGAGGGAACAAAGTGCTACTGAGTCTATACCATACTGTTACATAGACTTTGCCAATTAAAGAATAAGTTAAGGTACACCTATTACCCTATAGGGTAACACAGGAGACAGACTTCTAATAAGAAAAGGTACCAAAAAATTACTAAGCACTAGGGAACAGGGGCACCCAGTATGGAGCCTGGGAAGCTGTTACCATAGCTTCAAAAATACCTGGATCTTCAAACCTAACAACTGTACCCCAGATACCCAGAAACTCTCATAGGATGCACCACAAAATGGCACAAACATGTTCAAAATAGTACTTCCTAGAATTAGAAAAAATTGTACGTCCAATGCTTGCAGCAGAGAGAAACCAGCTGTGTGAGTTGTACCACAGGATACCTTCTGGGGCCAGCCAGATTGCTTAGGCAGGTGCAGGGACTGGGGTTTGATCCATGCCGGCCTCGCCCCTGAGGCATGCTGAGAGTGGGCGTGGTGGCCTCTGCCTGTAATCCCAGTACTTGGGAGGCTGAAAACAGGAGGATCACTATGAGTCCAATCTGTGCAGTCAGACCCTATTGACCCTGTATTAAATACGTTTTTTTTTTTTTTTTTTTAAAAGATACCTTCTGGCAGTATGAAAGAGTAACAGGCAACTACATGTCACTATTTGGGCAATTGGAGCAACAGGGTTAAACAAAGAAGTCACAAAGTACACAGAAGTATATAAACACCAAAACAAGCAAAGTAAAAAACTATAGCACGGAAGGACACACACACTCTCATAGTACACTATAAAGCTACCTAAGAACATAAGACAAGAATGGACTGTCCTCAGGCTGGAGGCAGAGGGATAACAAATAAATGCCTAGAGAAGATTTCCAGACACATGTGGTCGCTCAGTCAGAGGAGCGAGTACCCAGGAATTCATTCTAGACTTCATGATGCAGACAGCAAGTAAACCCTTTTTGCGCACTGGTTTTATGATGTGAACTGATCTGTTTTGTTTTTCTGCGGTGCTGGTGATGTAACCCAGGGATTCATGCATGCTAAGCACATGCTCTACCACTGAGCTATGCATCCCTAGTTCCTGATGTGTGTTTTAAAAGTTATAACCAACTGTATACTCTTTTATTATCATAAAACAACTTCCTACGTTATGACCAACAAATAGCTGCAAAAAATTTAGTTCAGTAGTTACTGATTTTTGTGTGTGTGTGTGTGTGTGTGTGTGTGTGTGTGTGGTAATGGGGACTGAACTCAGGACCTTGTGCTTATGAGGCAGGTGCTTATGCTGTGGAGGTATCTCCATGGCCCAGACTACTGTGTGTGTGTGTGTGTGTGTGTGTGTGTGTGTAACCGGGGATTGAACTCTGATCCTTGTGTTTGCCAGTCAAGCGCTTATCCTACTGAGCCATCTCCCCGGCCCTGGCCCAGACTATTGATGCAGTATTTTTCAACTTGTGGGACAAAATAAACATTAAGCAACAGGCACTGACTTTCATGAGACTTACCTGGCTATCCACTACCCCCAGGCCTTTTACATGAACATCATTAGTACATTAATAAGTCAGTCAACAGAGTAACAAAGGTATGAAAATCAATAAAAGTAAAAACATCTACATACCACGATGATGGCTATTCTTCCTCCAACATCACCAACAACAGTAATAGGGGGTTTTTCTTTAGGAATCAACACTGGTCAGAATAAAACACACATACTAAATTTTCTATATTAAGAAACAAAATTTAAAAAAGAAACAAAATAAAGCCTTTAATTAGTTACTATCTAATGATTTAAAGTCCCAACAAACTAGGATAAGAGAATTTCTTAATCTGATAAATGCAGCTCTCAAAAACCCAAAGCCAATATGATGTCTACTGGTGACACATCGAAAGCTATCTCCTAAAAGCAGTAAGGAGACAAGATGTGGGGGTAGGGCTACCTCTGAGACTCCAGGTATAAGAAAGACTCGGCGCAGTATCCAGCAAAGCAGCAGCAGAGGAGCGTATCAGAGCCTGGCAGGTCCAAAACCTACCCGAGTGTCTGGAACGTGGGGTAGGGTCAGAAAGAATTTTTTGCTTTGGAGGTGCAATATGCAATGTTGTTTGCCTTGTCAGGTTTTGGACTTGGTCAGGACCTGCTACTCTTTTCTTCTTGCCTGCTTCTCTATTTTGGAGTGGAAATGTCCAGCCTGTGCCTGTCTTACCACTGCATTTTGGAAGCATGGGCTTACAGGAAGTATTTGATTGCACAGGCTCATGGGTACCCAGGGCTTCAGAATGATGTCTACTGTGAGTTGGATTTAAGTGCCACTTAGATGAAATTGTACTTTTTATTTGATGCTGGAACTAAGGTTAAAACTTAACTGGAGTTAAGACTTTTGGTACCATGGGTGGAATAAATGTATTTTGTGTGTTAGGCAGGTATGAATTTTGGGATGGTCAAAGTGAAATGCTGGGCTGCAGAGATAGTTCAGTGGTCTAAGCACCTGCCTAGGCAAGTGCAAAGACCTGGGTTCGACCCCCAGCACAATATGCTGTGCTGGCCCCATCCCGGGTGTACCGAGCAGACCACTGAGACTGGGCGTGGTGGCACACAAATATATTCCTAACTCATAATGACACCCACTGTGGCAATATTAATAGGCAGGTCCTGTAGGAGGTTATAAGGTTCTCCTGAATGGGATCAGTGACCTGATGAAAGGCAGGAGGGAGTCTTCCACCATGTGAGGGCACATTTAGGAGGAACAGGTCCTCACCAAACATGAACCTGCTGGCATCCTGAGCTTGGACCTCGAGTCTCTTGAACTGATAAGCAGTACCCTGTTCACAAATCCCCCAATCTTTGGTATTTTGTTATGGGTACTTGTATTCTGCCTTGGTCACTGACATTCCACAGATTTCTTGTTTCTACATAGCCTTGATTTCTTCATCAGCCTGAGTTACTAACTGAACTGACTGACACAGAGTAATTTATCAAGCCCTACCCTCTGCTAAATTATTTAAACATGTTTAATATATTGCATTAAATATAACATTATGGCAAACAACTATGGATAAAAAAAGCTTTTTGCTTACTTTAAACAAGTTAAGGAACAAATTCCCTGAAATGCCACATTGGCGCCTAAGTAGTCTGAACATCTTCCTATGCTTTGCAATGAATGGCAGGATAGATTATGTTTAAAGGTTCTACCACTCCCAGGCCAGCCTAAGTGTGTATGTGACAATCTGGCCAGGAAAGGTATTAATTGGTTTTGTGCTAATTCAAAAAGTAAAAAGAAAAAAAATTCACATTAAAAACAAAACTTCTCCATAGTTTACCTTTATAACCAGAGGAACGCTGAAAGAGGTGTTAGGCATACTTACTGGGGATCTCCAGGCTGGGGTGGATGGCAGCCACACTCCTGACCATAGGTGGGGAGTGCCGTCCATCCACCAAGTCTGACTCGGCATCCTGCGCTTCACCATGAATCACTGCAATCCCTAGGCGAAGGCGCTCTGCAAAAGACTGTGCCCTGAAGACACAAAAAAAAGACACAAAAATCAAATCTCTGTGCAAAGGAGGGTGGGGTGTTGTTGTTGGTGTGTGTAATTTAAAACACCTAAGTACACAGCAACCCCCCCCCCAAAAAAAAAGTGAAAAAAAATAAAGTAACTTAAAAATCTTAGAATCCAGGACTAATTGTAGAGAGCTCACATGACAGGTATGTCCCTCTGTCCATGGGTATCAAAGCTCAGGGTCAGCCTGGCCTGTTCTGCAATCAGCTTGCTGAGAGTCTGAACTAATTACAACTGTTTCCTCTTTTGTAATTGCTAATGCTACCTACCTGTAAGAACTAACTATAGACAGTGCACAAAATATTCCACAAAGTAGTTATGTTAATTTTAAGATAACATATTTAGTACAGGGTCTATAGAGTCTACAGGGTCTCACTATGTAGATCAGACTCATAGTGATCTGCCTGTGTTCAGTCTCCCAAAAGCTGGGATTACAAGCGTGCACCACCACGCCGTCTCAATTGCTGTCTCAGCGCACCCTAGGGGCAAGGCTGGCACCGCTAAGATAACTTTTATAGAGGTATAAATGATACAGGAAACTGCATAGTTGAAAGGCATAATTCTGTAGGTTCAGATATGTATATGTGCTCATAAAACATTAGCCCAGTAAAGACAACAAATAGCTATCACTGCTGAGTGTATTCTTGTGCCCCTTTGAAATTTATCTGTCCAGCCCTAGGCTACCACTTATTTGCTTTCTATCAGGGTTTTTTTTTTTTTGGTGGAACCGGGTATTGAACTCAGGCTCTTGTACTTGCCAGGGAAGCGCTTATTCTATTGAGCCATCTCCCCGGCCCAAAAGCTTGAAGAAGTTTTTTTTTTTTTTGTATTTTAGGGAAGGGTCTACACCACCACGCCCAGTCTACTTTCTATGAGTTTTATCTTTTCTAGAATCTCTTATTAAATAGAATCACAGTATATGTATTCTTTTATATGTGAACTCTTTCCTTCAATATAGTGTTTTGGGGAATCATCCATGATATACTGTCAATAGCTTCATTTCTTTTCATTGCTAAGTAAAATTCCGTTGTTTCAATATATTGCAACTTATTGGTAAGTTACTTCCTTTTGTTTGGTATTAGAAATTGAACTCAGGATGTTGTGCTCGCCAGCCAAGTGTTATGCCGCTGAGCTATATGCCTGGCCCAGTTTTGTTTTTTTGTAAATGAAACTCCTATGAACTATAGATCTCTGTATGAAAATACGCTTTCCTTTCTCCTGGGTTAAAAAGAGGGGAATGGCTGTATCATAATAGTAGGGACGTATTTAACTTTTTTTATATTTTAGGGAAGGGTCTACAGGGTTCTCATGGTCTCACTACTAGATTGGACTCATGGTGATCCACCAGTTTACAGAGAGCTGGGATTACAGGCGTGCGCCACCACGCCCAGTCTCAACAGCAGTCTCAGCGAGACCCGGGGTTGGGGCCAGTATGATAGGCCCAGAAATCAAACCCCGAATCCCTGCACCTGCTTGCTGGCACTTTACTATGCTATTTGGCCGGCCCCTTGTATTTAACTTTAAAAAAAACAAAAACAAAAACTTGTTTCCATAATTGCTGTACCATATTATATTGCTAGGATCAGTATGAGAGTTCTAGTTCCCCTACATCCTGAGCAACATTTTTTTGGTACCATCACTTTAATGTGACCTACTCCAAAGGTGTACAGTGGTATTTTATGGTAGTTTAATTTGGGTTTTCCTAAAGATGTTAAGCAACTTGTCATGTTTACTTGTCAACCATAGTCTTTCTGAAAAGATCTGTTTATATCCTTTGCCAGTTTAATTGGGTTATTTGTTCCTTTAGGAAGTTTTCAGAATTTTTTGTATATTCTAAATACAGGAATTTTTTTATCATACATATGCTCTACAATAATTCTGATTGTTGTCTTTTCATTTTCTTAATGGCTTCTGGAGAGCAGTTTTTAATTCTGATGAAGTCCAACTGACCGATTTATTTCTCTTATAAACTGCTTTTTTTGTCATAAAAATCTTTACTAAGGGGTTGCTAGGGCTCTAGGTTAGTACTGAAGCACTTGCCACCATGCCAGGAGCAATGAAAAACAACACACTACCTACCTCAACACTGATCTTACGTAAGTTTTACATTTTATCATTCATCTTAAATTGATTTTGTGTATGCCATGAAATATGGCTCAAAATTCATTATTTTTGCACATGAATATCCAATTATTCTAGCACCATTTCTTTATGCTTTGCTTTCATTTGAGACCCAGTCTTGTAGTTCAGACTGACCTTGAATTCTCTATAATGCAGGCTGCTCCCAAGTGCTGAGGTTACAGGCGTGTGCCACCATGCCCAGCTAGCATCATTTCTTTAAAATCTCCCTTGCATTCCTCTTTGCATCTGTGTTGAAAATCAGCTGTGACTTTATCCCAATACCATACCAACATGCTTGCACAGCTTGATAGCAAGGACTGAATGCAAGCGATTTTTTTACACTGTTATGTATTTTTGAAGCTGTGCTGGCTGCTCTAGGTTTTAAAAAGCCTGCTAAGATTTTGACTGGGATAGTGTTAGTTCTACTGATCAATTTGGGATGAAGTGCTATATTAACAATACTGGCCTTTCAGTTCATGAACACAGATCTCCATCAATTGAGGTCCTCTTTAATTTCTCTCAGTAATGTGTTATATAGTCTTCAGGATACAATTCTTCTATATCTTTGCTTCAATTTATTATTGCTTGTGTCATTTCCTTTGAAGCAATCTGGTTTTTTAAACTTCAATGTGTAGTTAGCTGTTACCGGAATACAGGAATACAACTGATTTTTGTATACTGCTCTTATACCCTGTAACTTTGCCAGTCTGATTTATTAGTCCCAATCACAGTTTTCTATATCACCAAGATTTTCTATATAAATCATCAAGTCATCTACCCAGTGGGTGTGCTTTACTTTGTTTCTATACTGGACTCCTTATTATTTTTAAATTGCAGTGTCCAGAAGCTCTAGTACAAAGTTGAACAGAAGTAGGAAGATCAGACATTCTTTCATAGGTTCTGATTTCAGAGGGAAGCAGCTTATCTTTCACCATTAACTGTGATGCGGCTGGATGTTTTCTTGGATCCTCTGTCGGATGAGGAAGTTCTTAGTTTACTTTTAATCAGGAACAGAAGCTGAATTGTGTCAATTTTTTTTTTTCTTCAGTCTATTGAGATAATGACTTTTTTTTTTTCATCTTTAGTTCACTTAACTATTAATTATACATATTATTATTTTCCAAAATTGGGTTCTTAACCTTTTAGGGGACCAGAATGTTATTTACTTAAGTAGTATAAGAATGGATATTTCGTGTTTTATATTTTTTCATTCTATATAGGTGAATGAGTTTTAGTTTGGCAGATCTGTGCACAATGCATACTTCGATCATCTTCACTCCCATCACCTCCCTTGCCCTGTCCTCTTCCCTTGTTTCCCCTTTCTTGGGGGGTGGATTTCAATGCATACAATGTATTTTGCTCATTATCTATCCTGCCCTTACAGCTCCCCCTCTTATTTCTTCCCTGTTGTCTAGTAATACTATCTTTTCTATTTTCTGGTCATCTCTTTTAAGAGTCCACTAAGAACATTTGATATTTGAGTCTGGCTTGTTTTGCTCAATGTGCCCCCTCCATTTATCTTCTTTTTCTTTTTTTTTGCGGAACCAGGATTGAACTCAGGCCCTTGCGCCTGCCAGGGAAGCGCTTATTCCACTGAGCTATCTCAACGGCCCCCATTTATTTTCTTATGACAGAATTTTATGCTTCCTATGGCTGAATACACTCCATGGTGTGTACACACCACATTTCCTTCATCCATTCATCTGCTGACAGGTGCCTTGCTGGTTCTGTATCCTGGCTATTGTAAATTGTCTGCAATAGCATGGGTATGTAGGTATCCCTATAGCATGCTGATTTCAAATGCTCTGGATACACATCAAGGAATGGTGTCACTGGATCAAATCGTAGCTCTATTTTTAGTTTTTTGAAGGACAAGTTTCATTTAGCTCACATATTTTTAGTTTTCTGAGGAATTTCCATAATGGCTGCACTAATTCAGATTACTGTCGGCAGTATAAAAGGACTCCTTTTTCCCTACAGCCTTGCCAGCACTGTTTTCTTGATGACAGTCATTCGGATTGCAGCGAACAGAACCTTAACGCTGATTTGATCTGCACTTCCCATTTATTGATTTTTTAAAAAATGTTATAACGTCATACTCTTGGAAGACTCCAAATGGTCACGATATATTAATCTTTCATATACTGCTGGATTTGATTTGCTAAAATGTTGCTTCGGAGTTTTACATCTGTTTGTAAGGGATATCGGTGTGTAGGTTTCTTGTACGTCTATTTCTGCTTAGCTACTAGGGTAATGATGATCCCAGAAAATGAGTACAAAAGTATTCTTTAATTTTCTGCAATTTATGTAGGATTATTATTATTTAAAAAAATTTTTTTTGAGATATGGTCTTACTAAGTTGTTCAGGCTGGGCTTGCACTTGCAATCCGCCTGCCTCTGCTTCTCAGACTGCTGTGTTTACAGGCACGTGCCACTGCACCTACATCAATTAGTATTCTTTCTTAAATGTTTGGTAAATGTCATCATGAATTTTTTTCTGAGAGATCTTGAGGGTGTAACTCAGTTGTGTAATACATGAAACCCTTGGTTTGAGTGCACACATTGTACATAAAAACATTTTCTTTTACCTTTGTGGGAAGTTTTACAATTTCATTTTCTTAACAGACACAGGATATTCAGGTAACCTAGTTCTTCCTGAGTTAGTCTTGATAATTTTTTGTCTTTCAAGCAGTCTGTCCATTTCTTCTACAGTGTGGAATTTTTTTGGAATAAGGTTGTTATAGTATTTCCTTATTACCATTTTACTGTCTGTAGAATTTATGATGATGTCTGCTATTAGTCATTTCTGTCTTCTTTTCCCCTGACCTATCTGGAT